GTTCTCTTTTAGTTTTGTTTTGTCTCATCTTTTATTGCTTCTATGGTCATGTCTGCTTTGTACCTATAAGGCTTTGGTTGGCAAAATTGTAAATCTCTCAGTCCCACTGATGAGGCTTTCACTTCAAATTAACTTTCAACAAAAGGATTAGCAGATAACCTTTTCAGGCTGCATTTCTTTACACAAAAGGGTGGATATGGTTTGAACTGGCTACCAAAACCAGGAAGAGGAGTTAATTGTGTAAATCAATACAGGCTAGAGCTGATCACCTTTCTGAAGGACAAGACAATGCAGCACACAACCTTTAAATAGATCTTTGGGGTCAAGTTGATGTCATGTTGGAGAATCAATATTTACGGGGCTTTTATACAGTTAGCCTTTAATGAACCCCAGGCATTTTGCTAGGCCATTAATTGCAGGAAGAGGAAAGGTGACAGAGGCTGAAATTCAGGGCTGTGGAGATGATATAAAACTAAGAGGAGAGACAGTCACTTGCTAATGTGCAGAGGTCCTCCCTTTAGGTTCTACTTAAACATTGTTGGGAATGTGTATTGAAAGGCTTTCTTAGGATCTTGTTGACATTTTGAGAAAGAACAACTCTTGCCTCCAAACAGAAGGTAAGCCCTTTCTTATTTGACACTCCGTATCTAAGCAGTGCAGCTTAATTTTCCTGGGATGAATTCTGATGTCATTTTGGATTCTTGATCATCACAAGAGCAGGTCTCTCTAAGAGTTTGGCTTATCCTTCTCTCTGACACACTTGAAAGTTGTTACTTTCTTTTTAAAAAAATCTTTATTGTTGAAAGTATTACATATGTCCCTTTTTTTCTCCCATTGACCCCTTATAGCCCACTCCTGCCCCAGGCCTTCACCACCCTATTGTCTGTGTCCATGGATTATGCATATATGCATACAAGTTCATTGATTGATCTCTTCCCCCACCCCCACCTTCCCTCTGAGATACAACAGTTTGTTCCATGATATCTCTGTACCTATTTTATTCAACAGTTTATTTTGTTCATTAAATTCCACATATGAGTGAGATCATGTGATACCTCTCTTTCTCTGACTGGCTCTTTTCGCTTAGCATAATATTCTCCAGGTCCCTCCTGTCTCAAAAGGTAAGAGATCCTTCTTTTTTTTTTTTACTGCTGCTTAGTATTACATGGTATAAATATACCACAGCTTTTTTATCCACTTATCTACTGATGGGCACTTGAGCTGTTTTTAGATCTTAGAATTGCGCTGCTTTGAACATAGGGGTGCATATATTCCTTCTGATTGGTGTTTCAGGTTTCTTAGGATATATTCCTAGAAGTGGAATCACTGGGTCAAATGGCAGTTCCATATTTGATTTTTTGAGGAAACTCCATACTGTTTTCCATAATGGCGGCTGCACCATGCATTCCCACCAGCAGTGTACTGGGGTTCCCTCTTCTCCACATCCTCGCCAGCACTTGTCATTTGTTAATTTGTTGATGATAGCCATTCTGACAGGTGTAAGATGATACCTATTGATTGTATATTCTGCAGCTTCAGGGTGAAATGTTCTATAAATGTCAATTAAATCCATCTGATCCAGTGTGTCATTTAGAGGCATTGTGTCCTTGTTCATTTTTTGTCTGTAAGATCTATCCAGTGAAGTCAGTGGGGTGTTAAAGTCCTCTACTATGACTGTATTATTGTCAATATCTCCCTTAAAGTCCTTCAGAAGTTGTTTTATATTTTTAGGTGCATATATGTTTACCAGGATTATATCCTCTTGTTGGATCATTCCCTTTAGTATTATGTAGTAACCTTTATTGTCTCTTGTGATGGCCTTCATTTTGAAGTCTATTTTGTAAGATACGAGTTATGCCACCCCAGCTTCTTTTCTATTTGCATGGAATTTTTTTTCCATCCCTTCACTCTCATCCTGTGTGAGTCTTTTATTCTGAAGTGGGTCTCTTGTAGACAGCATATATTTTGGTCACATTTGTGTATCCATTTAGCTACCCTTTGTCTTTTGTTTGGAGCATTTAAACCATTCACATTTAAGGTTATTATTGACTAGTAGTCCTGTGCAAGAATCATGTGCCAGTAGCTCGCTGCCACCCTCCAGTAGCTCTCCGCCCACTGCCCTGCCCTCCTGTAACTCCCTCCGCGCCCCCCCCATTCCTTCCCCCTCATAGCTTGCTGCCCTGTCCCCTCCTATAGTTCTCCACCGCCCACTTGTAGCTCGCTGACCCCCCCTCCTGCTGATCTGTGATCCGGTTGTTACATGGTCGTTCGTTACGCTTCACGGCGTAATGACCATTTGCATATTACATCTTTATTATATAGGATAGGTATTTATTTATTGCCATTTTAATTCTTTATGCCTATGTTTCTCTCTCTCTCTCTCTATTTCTTCTCATTACAGCAGACCCGTTAGCATTTCTTGCAGTGCTGGTTTGGTAGCCTTTTTTGGTCTAGCTCTTCTTTATTTCACCATCGATTTTGAGTGATAGCCTTGCTGGATATAGTAATCTTGGTTTCAGATCCTTGCTTTTCATTACCTTGAATACTTCATGCCAATCCTTTTTGGCCTGTAGAGTTTCTGATGGAAGATCAGTTGACAGCCTAATGGGAGCTTATTTGTAGGTAACAGTTTGCTTTTCCCTTGCTGCCTTTAAGATTCTCTCTCTGTCTTTAATTTTTGGCATTTTAATTATGATGTGTCTGGTGTGGGCCTGTTTGGGTTCTTCTTGCTTGAGACTCTCTGTGCCTCCTGAACTTGTGTGTCTTTTTCCTTCACCAGGTCAGGAAAGTTTTCTGCCATTATTTCTTAAAACATGTTCTCTATCTCTTAATCACTTTCTTCCCCTTCTGGCCCTGCTATTTTACAAATATTGTTAAGTTTCATGTTATCCCATAGTTCCCTTAAGCTGTCCTCCTGTTCTTAAATATTTTTTTCTTTTTGGTTCTCTGATTGAGTGATTTTTTTCTATCCTGTTGTCTAATTCACTGATCTGATTCTCGGCTTCCCCTAATCTGCTATGATTCCTTCCACTGTGTTCTTTGTTAATGCTATGCCATTCATTGTTGTTGTATCTTTTCTCATGCTATATCATCTGATAGAAGTGGTGGTCTGGCTGTGTTGAGTATCATTATTCTGATCTCTATGTCTGATAAGTTTCTTATCTCCATTTCATTTAGCTCTTCTTTTGAAGCATTTTCTTATTCTTTCGTTTGGGGCTTATTTTTTTGTCTCCCCATTTTGGCTGCCTGTTTGGGTTTGTGACTATGTATTAGGTAGATCGGCTATGCCTCCCAATCTCTAGTGCAGGACAGTGTCAGCCGCTGCTTTTGACTGGTCCTGAGTACCCTGTTTGGAGCTATCAGCAATCCACAGCTTGTGGCTCCCTCTGTTAGAGCTAGGTGCCTTTGGAAAGGACCAAGATGTGCACCAAGTTCTGCATTTTCTAGCCCTGGGCCCTCAATTAGATCAGGCAAAGACTGGCCTCCAGAGACCCACCTCTGCCTGCAGTCTGATTGTATTCAGTCTTGATTAGCATCAGGCTGTGGACCACAGGGTGGGGCAGTTGCTTATGCCTGCAGGCCGATTGTTATTCTCAGTCTCTTAATGGGCCTCAGAAACTCCACAGATTGGGGCAAAACCTACTTGGATAGCAAAGGTCCACCAGAAAAATATGTCCTCACAGCATGAGGGAATGACTCAGCACAGGAAACCAAGGTGTCTGCCTTCCTAGGTCTAACCCCAGAGCCCCCAACCCTGGCTTCTGCTCACAAGACTCCATTCCACTCTGCCCTCCCTCTGCTAGACCCCATGGTGAATAGCTGCACGTGAAATTTTGTGCATTGGCCTTTTAAGAGGTTGCCTGCATTTTCAGTCATCTTCCCCAGCAGACAGCAACTTTGATGTTTTTCTACGCCAGATGTTATGTTAGTATCTTTATCAGTTCTGGTGCTCTGGGTTGGAGAGCCTGGCTTGGGCTTTAGACTCCAGAGTTCTCAGTGGGGACCCCCCCTCCCCCACTGCTGAGATATCCCTCTGAAACCTCAGCTGCTGTCTGTGGGAGCCCAGCTAGCCCTTTTGTGCCTCCGCACTTCCTAGCAGTCTCCACTTTCTGTCCTTGGTTATCAGGGTTCTCTCCAGCTAGTCTTCATTTGATTATTCAGGGTGGTTTTTCTGTACTTTAGTTGTAATTCCAGTTTGGTCCTGGGAGTGTGTCAGTGTAGCATCCACTTACTCTGCTGCCATTTTGGAATCTCTGAAAGTTGTTATTTTATTTAATTGAATTTATTGGAGTGACATTGATTAATAAAGATATACAGGTCACACTTGACAGTTTTTAAAGTGAAGAATTGTAATAAAGAATGTCTACTTTAGAATGCTGGCTTGAATCCACATCTGATGAAAGATTTTTGATAAATATAATAATTTATACTTGCTATATCATCTGATAGAAGTGGTGGTCTGGCTGTGTTGTGTATTTAAGTGTTCTGTATTCTTCACTGGGTCATTAGAATCTTTCATGGGTTGGGAATCTTCTATGTATTTTAGTCAGTGCTTCCACTAAATGCTGTTGAATAGATAGAGGAATGTATTATATCCAAATTTATCCTGTCTGTAACAAAACTAGGATCCCACATAACTGGAAGTTATAGTAGCTGCTTTGTTAGGCCCTGTGGATTAGGGTATTTTGTTACAAGTTCTTGTTCATATCTGCTCAATAGATATCTTGGAACTAACATTTCAGACCTCTTTCTCTAGTGCATTTGTTGGAGGAGGCTTTAAGATTAATCAGAAGAGCTGCTGTTCTTTTCTCACTCCCACTCCCACTCCCACTCCCACTTCTCTTCTCCAGGAGCATTTTTGACAATAAATACGGAAAAGACAAAGCATGAGGAGTTTGTTGAGATTGTTCTGGTGTTTTTATAAGAGAAGCTGATGCTTAATATTTCCATCTGTAATTGTCTTTAGATACTCATTCTGGGTTTTTATTCTTCCTTTTCAGCTGTTTGAGAACTACTACTTTGGTACCTTAAAGCTTAATTCAATCCACATCTCTCAGCGGTTCTCAGTAGACAGCTTCGGAAACTACGCTTCCTGTGGACAAATTGACTTCTCCTGAGGTGAATCTTGAGAAACCCTAGAAATTGAACATCTTCACAAGGTGCTGAGGGAAAGTGTCTTCATTTTAATTGCCAAGGAGGGATGTGACCTTTTGGATGGTGACTTTCCTGGGTGGTTCCCCATGGGCTCTGTAGTATCTCTGATGGTGGTCCACAGTCATCAGACTGTTAGCCAAGATGATTGTGGGCACCTGGAGAACTGTGCATGTAACCCTGGGCTTTTTGCAGGGTCTTTTCTTTCCAAAGCTCTTCTGTGGAAGTGAACCTCTGAAGCCCATTGGAACTCAGATTTGCATTACTTCTTATATACTGATTTTGCCCCAGCCATTAAAGTTGTTTGTATTAGTACTTTAAAAGAGAATTAAAGACATGTGGTTTCATTAATCTCTCCATCTAGATAAAATACCTGTAATTTTTAGAAGGTTGATTTTTTTCTCCCTTTCCCTCGTACCCTAAATTTCTGTGTGTGTAATAAAAACAAGCATTTACTGAACACCTACTATGGGCCAGGCATTATGCTAAGTATATACATATTATTATCCTTAATATTATTATTAAATTATTATTACACTTAGTAATAATATTAATATTTTTATCACTGACAGCACTATGAGGGAGGTACTAATACAGTCCCTGTTTTACGTATGAGGAAATTGAGGTCAGATACCTAACTGAAGGTCACATAACCAGGCAGTGGATAGTGTCAGGATCTGAACCCAGCCAGCCTGGGCTCTTTAACACTGTGCTAAGCTGCGTGGCCCTTAGCAGGACTAGAGAGAGAACAAGGAAGATGCCTGGCAGACCAGGTATGGAGAGAGGGAGCCACAACGGTTATGGCTGTTCCAATATCCTAGGACCAAGCAGGAGGACCATTTTGGATGCAGGACTCACAGGATGTTTTGCAAAACTAGATTCATTAGGAGTGCTCACTTGTACCCTAATTTTTTTAATTAAATTTTTTAAAAATTTTAATTGATTTTTAGAGAGGGAGGAAGGAAGAGAGGATAAAACACACATCAATTGGTTGCCTCCCATATGCACCTCGACTGAGGATCAAACCTGCAACCTAGGTATGTGCCCTGATGGGAATCAATCCCTAGATATCCTGGTACACCAGACGACTCTCCAACCAACTGAACCACACCAGCCAGGGCTGTACCCTAATTTTAATCACTACCCAGAATTTCTTTTTTATTGTGGTAGAAAACACGTAACATAAAACTTACCATCTTAACCTTTTTTAAGTGTACATTTTGGTAGTATTAAGTATATTCATGTTGTTGTGAAACATCTCCAGAACTTTCTTATCTTGCAAATCTGAAACTCTGTATTTATTAAACAACTCAATTTCTCTCTCCCCAGACCCTTCAACCACCCCTTTACTTCCTGTTTCTATGAATTTGACTGCAGTAGATAGATACTTCATAGAAGTGGAATCATACAGTCTTTGTCTTTTTGTGACTGGCTTATCCCATGTTGGTTCATCCATGTTGTAGCATGTGACAGGATTTCCTTTCTTTTTAAGGCTAAATAATATTCCATTGTATATACTTACCACATTTTGTTTATCCATTTATCCATCAATGGACACTTGTGTTCCTTGACCTCTTGGCATTTGTGAATAGTACTCTGTGAACATGAGTGTACAGGTATGTCTTTGAGACCCTGCTTTCAATTCCTTACTACTAAGAATTTTATCTTTAGCAAAATAACTGTTACAACTCTCACCTTTTACTTTGATCTCTCCTTTTTCTTCTGAAGTTGGTACCTTTTTATATTTGTTAGATTCCTGTCCCTTCACCCTACCCTGCCTCTCACCTTCCCATGGCGCTGACGCTGACGCAGTTGCAGCATTGTAGCCCTTTTATGTTTACTTCTCAGGGCAGCAGCCAGAGGAACAATGATGCTATCAGCAGGACTGTGCAGTTTCCTGGGAAAATGTCAGCTGCAGAAGGTACCGGCAGTCCTTGCCTGCAGAGCAGCAGAGGGAGGGAGCTCAGCACAGCTTTGCCCCACCCATCAGTCCTCCACTGCTCTGGTGCCAGGGAGCTCCAGCCTGGCTCTCACCTTCCACCACTTTCTCCTTCTCCCCTCCTCACATCCTTTCTCCCGCCATGTCCTCTCTTTGCTTCATTCCTCATTCTTCCCTTGCTTCTTACTTTCTGTTTAAGAAGTTTGATTCTGGGCCCTGTGTGTCAAGGCCACTACATAGTGATAGTTCTGTATAACACAGATTTGTTTATCACTGTGACTGCACAGGTCATTTCTGAATAAATGAATTTCCAAAGTAACTGCGCTTTTTGATATTTTCATATAATTTTGTAGTTTGACCCCCTTAGTGTATGTTTGGGATACAGTGTTGCCATCACTTATTCACTGGCAAAGCTGTGTCATTAATCCAGAACTTACATACTGGTGCCTGTAGGATTGATTTCCCCCCAAGAATTTTGTACTAGTAATACTCGTTTTTATTTGAGATTTTTACCTTGCTTGCCCCAGGGTGTTAGATGGCAAGTGGGAATGAGTACTCCCAGGAATAGTGTTGAATGGGGAAGTTGACTGTGGGGTTCAGTGCCCTCATCTCCTCTGGGTACTACTTCTCTCTTACTGGTTTCTTTCTGACAGCTGCCACTGGGCAACCTTGCAGGAGGTAAAGATGTCTTCTTTTGGATGTCAGAGATTTATAACTTATGTTTTTAATACATTTTAAAAATACATCTTTATTGTTGAAAGTAGTACTGATGTCCCCTTTTCCCCTCCATTTTTAAAAAATAGGTTATTGATTTTTAGAGAGAGAGGAAGAGAGAGGGAGAGAGACAAACATCCATGTGAGAGCAGAACATTGATCAGCTGCCAGGGATTGAGCCCACAACCTGGGCACGTTCCTTGACCAGGAATCGAACCAGCAACATGGTACAACCCACTGAACAACACCAGCCAGGACTGCAGCCGGTTTCTGAGACACTGACTTCACCCAATTCCTGGAAGAGGAAGAGGGAAAATGAATTTCTCACCCCAATTATTACATAACTAGGGGCCCAATGCTCGAAATACATGCAAGAGTAGGCCTTCTTTCCCCCAGCTGCTGGCACCAGCTTCCCTCTGGCACCTGGCACCCAGGACCCGGGCGTTCCTTGCAGCCCCGGCTTCATCTGGAAGGTGGTCCGGTCTAATTAGCATATTATGCTTTTATTATTATAGATAGCTGTGTTGTTATGAACTCTGTTATGAAGAATAATTCTGATTTTTTTAAAGGGGGCATAATGAGTTAGCCTCAGATGAAGTCCATATCCATGGTAGAGACATTTATTTTTGGGGTGAGCTCCAGAGTTGGACATCGATGAGAATCCAGCTTCATGCTGACACAAAGCTTGTTCAGGTTTGCTCTTTCCTGGAGCAAAAGGGCACCTGACGGCGCTGAGGCACACTGAGTTGAGGAACCCCCCCTCATAGTCGACCGTGATGCTGTTAGAAATAAGGCGAGCCCCAAGCCCGGGGTCCAGAGCATCCTCGGAGCCGGAGAGCACGCTGTGTCTTCACTCCTGCAGGAGGGTGCGCACGCACAGAGCGGGTGGTCCGCTCATGATCTTATGTTGAGGCAGGTCATCCGTCCCTCACTCCTGATTGGTCAGAGCTTAGCCTTGCAGTCTTGCATGATTGGCTAATTTAAAGGAAAAAGGGAGGGGCTGACCTTTGCTGTTTCAAAATGGTGGCCCCCAGGGGAGCTGCAAGTCACGCGGCCAAAATGGCGGCTGCCTGAACGACCTTCTTTGGCAGAAAAGACTTTTTCTCACAATGCCTTGGGATGCGGATGGTAGAGAAGGGCTGTTGGTAGCTTTTTCTGTTGTTTTTAATCAAATGTTCTTTTAAACAAATATAAAATAAGTTAACTTTGTGAAAAATCATCAAGCTATACCTACTTGCTACTTTTTAAAATGTATGTTATAGTTTAAATATTTGTTAATAAATAAATTTCATCATTCAGAGGTTACTACTCCCCGTACATTTAAGCACATATCATATTGTTAAGCCATTTTTCAGACTATGAGCGGGACGCTCTCACTTGTCATTTGTGTATTAACTCAGTCCTCACAGTGGCCACTTCCGTTGTTAGTGCCATCCTCATCCACAAACGGAGGCTCACGAAGGTAAGGAACTCGCCAGAGGTCATACAGCTGTGCCGGCGGCTCTTGAAGTGTGGTCTGTGGGCTCCTGGGGGCCCCAGACCCTGCATTGGGGGTGGGGTGAGGTCCGCCCTGTTTTCACAAACTAGAAGGGCGTGGTTTGCCCGTTCCCGCGTCCTCCCGGGAGTGTGCGTGGCCCCGAGGCTGTGCCCCGCAGCGTCACGGGGGTCACGGTGTGCGCATGCGCCGCTGTCTCCAGGGAGGCGCGGGCATAAATACGTGTTTTTAGAGTTGGACGCGGTTTGCTCTTACCAGCCGCTGCGGTTCAGCTGCGACTTATGCGCTGGAGAAGTCGCATGCCGAGCCCCACCCTCTCGGCCTCACTTGTGTTGAGTGGTTAAAGGGGGCCGAGCTGCAGGGTGGCCCCACCCGCCTGATGGCGTCCTTTCAAGAAGAGGCCCTTTGGACACCCGAACCTCAGGTCTGTGCACAGAAGAAGGCCTTGCGCCCCAGCGCGAAGGTGGCCGTCGCAGACCAGAAGGAGGCACCTCAGTAACACCAGCCCTACCAACCCCTGAATCTGGGGCTTGTAGCCCCCGTACTGACAAAATAAACCTGCTGTGTAAGCCGCCCTGTCTGGCATTTTGTGTCGGCCCCGGCCCTGATACACTTGCTATAATGCAGAAGCCAACCTACCAGTCTTTTTTCGAGCAGGACATGAAAGAGATTTGCAAAAATGTAAGACAATGACACTCTTCTCACAGATTTTTTTAAGGGAAGATACAGTTTTTCATCAAATATATTGTCTAATATGCAATGTGTTCCTTATTATTTAAAATTTAAAATTTTTTTGTTTGAAAAAACAGATTTAATACTTTTAGAGCAGTTTTAGGTTCACAGAGGAAGGCTTAGTTTTATTTTAAAGTCCAGCCAATTAGAGCCACATCTGTATCTCACAGAAACAAGAGTTCTTTGGGGGCCTCATGAGCTCTGAGTGCACAGGACCCCGGAGGCCATACAGTCTGAGAACTGCTGCGCTGCACTGTCCTTGCCTCCGAGGGATGATATTACACATGATCTGTAATGAGCTTTCCTCACCCCGAGGTAGGCGGTGGGTCACATCCACTGTCATTAGATACACGTCCATATCATTTATCTGTAATGGCTGCACAGCAGTCCATTGTGTACATGTTAACACGGAGCTCGTCGGTCTCTGTGTGATGGTCAGTGAGCTGGTGTCTGGGTTTGGCTATTGAAACAATTCTGGATGGGACAGATTGTGCATTTGTCTCTTATGCTTGTGAGGTCATCTAGGAATGGGATTAAATGGTTTTGAAGATGAGGTTAATTTAAGTTTTTTTATTTGGAATGTA